TTGGGAATTAGAAAACCGCTCAATGAATTAAAACCGGTAAAGAAATTTAGCGAAGCTTTCCTTTATTAGTACAGCGTATCATAAAAAAGTCATTCCACATTGCTTATGTCCGATCATTAAGTAATATTAATAATAATAACATTGCTTATGTCATTACTAATATACTTGCTATATATTAAAACAAACTTAAGGACTAGATGCAAGCCCAAGGCAGTCCTTATGCTCCATATGATATCTTAAAGTGATTATCCTATTTAATTAAATATCTTACAAAGCAAAACTAACAAAACACAAAATACTTCAAAATACGCAGATTTTAAGTTAGCAATTTAAGTTGGCAAGTACGTTTCTAAAGGACACAGCCGAACTCTCCTGCAAGCCTTTGGACGTGCTCCACCTTGAAAAGGGGAGGAAAGTCTGGAGGAACGAGAACGTCGCCAAGAAAGCTTGGATACTTTGCTCTGATGCAGGCTGATCGGAAATGAAAATGCACGTTCTGAGGCTCACTTGAAAACTGGATTTGTCCTGCAGGGCCTTTTTTAACATACAAGCTGGGGGGCCATTTGCCCCACCCCCAGTCCCCCCTTGTGCCCCCCCCACACGAAATCACATTTTGCACCCCTCCCAGAAAAAGTCCCTTTTCCTAAATTTATACAAACAAACCAGCGAAGAATAACAAATTGATAAACGGAACGTAAGTTTTAGGCTTTATCCTTTGTCCTTGTTTAACGAATCGATTTAAAGGACTGTGTCACCGCGTGCGCATCCTACGTGTTTCTAACACTAAGTAATGATAAATTATTGTTAATATTTTTAAATTCTTTGTGCGTTTTTTCTTTCTTTTATTTCAAATAGAAGTATAGTTAGCAAATTTGGATGCTCAGAAGCCAGGAAATGGCATTTTTGGGCTGAAGTATGCCCCCAGACCCCCCTATTCGTTCACGGTATGTCGGCCACACACGTGACCCACGGCCATTGCTATCCCCCTTTAATAATAAGTAATGGATAAATTATTGTTAATATTTCTTTTATTTTTTCTGCATTTTTTCCTTGTTTTATTTCAAATACAAGTATAATTAGCATAAATTTTAGAGCAAATTTAGATGCTCATAAAGCAGGAAATGGCATTTGAAAGGTTCAAATTTAAAACATTTTCTGGGGGAGTATGTCGGCCACACACGTGGCCGTCGGCCATTGCTATCCCCCTCTAATATATTATCTAAGGTCCCTTTTCAAAAAATACCCCCAACGGGAAAATCCTTAAAAAAGGCCCTGTTGTCCTGTATTTCGGTCTCGGAACTGTCGTATGTCGCGGTATACGTTAACTGTGTAGTTCGTATATTTGCCTAGCCACATGTTGTGATTGAGGCTATGTGAGGATTGTAAGTTTATCACCTAGTGCTATTTAAGTATAGATGCAGTTAGGTTATGTGCATGCTCACAGGGTTTTGAAAGCAAACCATGCCATGAAATATGTGAAGCCTATGGTTTGTGTCATGTATCTAACTATCTAGGTAGAATACCTAAAAGTAGATGTTGTACAAACTACAAAGTTGTGGTTTATAGAATCTGACAGACCTCCCCCGCCCCCCGTCTCCTATTTCCTCCCTCCCCCCCTCGCCCCACCATCCCTCCGTTCCCCATTTCCCGTTCCCCCACTTCCCGTTCTCCCATTCCCCCATTCCCCGTCCCCCCATTCCCCGTTCCGGGTTTTAAAGATAGCCAGTTTCAGTCTATTTCACGTTTTTCGACAGGGAAGACGATCTTTTTGCCTGTATTCAATCTACAAACACTAAAAACAAGTTTACTGGTCGTATTCTACTCGTATGTACTCGTATGTACTTGTGTTTTACTCGTATGTACTCGTGTGTTACTCGTATGTACTCGTATGTTACTCGTATGTACTGGTATGTTACTCGTATGTACTCGTGTGTTACTCGTATGTACTCGTATGTACCTGTGTGTTACTCGTATGTTACTCGTATGTACTCGTGTGGTGTTTTAGTCACGATCGAAAATCTGTGATTTGGCGTTGTAAACAAAGCGAGGACAATGTCAATGTGTAAATATATTGCAATTATTGAATTCTTTATAATTATTTATTGTATTTGTGGCCGTTGTTGTCCTAAATCGTATAAAGGTGTCTATTTAAAAATCGGGGAACCATGCAAGGTAAGCATGGTTAAAAATTTTTCGAGTCATGCATGCGGACATATGCATGCGCATGCATGGTTTACGCTACTCATACGTTTCTCTCATATACGCAATAGTGTGACAGGACCTTAACCGAGATCAGCATGTAATTGCAGTTCTTAAAAAACATGAAAATATTAAACATGTATATTTGTTTCATTTTATAGTGGCAAAATAAATCTGCACTATGTTTATGATGAGAAAAAAGTGCCCTTCAAAGCATTCCTATAAATTGGCACACATATATCCTTTCCCGTACTTTTCTTATACATTTTTGTTTATATATACCATGCATGTAGTATTTAATGATACTCATAAACGTAAAATTTCAAGCATATATAATTGCTGGCATATTTATAACTTACTCTCTATCCAAAAAACAGCCATATTTGAAACAGTAAACAGTTTTGTATGTTTTTAACGCGAAAAATTTAAGTAAATACAAAAAGAAATTATAGCTTATAATTAGAGGAATTAGCGAAAATTGACTATATTCATGACGCGCTTGTCAGGCGAAAAACACACTGCCCAAAGATTTTATTATTTATTCTAGTAGATGTGTCATAATACTCAGTAGCTGCACTAGATTGGATACCTGATACCGTTGCACTTTTGAGAAAAAAACAATTTACCGCCAGCATACTAACACGAATATTTAATCCGCTGTCTGAAAGACGTTTTTAAAACTGAATACACAATATTTTGTTTGCTTCAAGTGATCAGGATAATTTTTAGTTTAGGTTTATGCCTAGGCAGGAAATAATAAAATATGTAAGTTTCAAGAAGTTAGAATAAAAGCGCGAGACGAACTGTGAGATATAAAAAAGCTCAAATATCACTTGCGTAATTAACGTTTTAACTTGTTTTCGAACGCGTCCGAAAATAATAGCGAAAAAAATTTTAAAACTGACTACAATTTCAAAGTCAACGTTTTTTGTTCATTTTATGAATGACTTCTTCCACACAGAAAGTTTGAAGGAAATCTGTAATCTTAAGAAATTCGAGTGGTCGGTTTTTACACGGACTGCCTCTTAAACTCCTTAATAGAGAGGTTTAGCAAAGACGACGCGACTTCAAAGACGACGCGAAAATGGCGTGGCGCGTGAGATTTTACTTCCGGTTAAATCTAGGACGGCAGTCGCGTCGAGTCTAGGCCGTGAAAATACTCATTTTGGCGTCGTGTCAACGACGGCAACTTAAAATCATTTTTTTGCGATAAAAAGGTAAGAAAATTATTTTTTATAAGCGAATATATTAAACAAAAATTTATATCTGTTTTCTGCATAACATTTGATAATAAATTGACCTTTTCAAAGGTCAATTTTAATAAAAACAGGAAATACGTAACACCAATGAACGAGACGGGTTTCATCCTCGGAGAGTTTTTGAAAGTAAACAAATAATCTTGTCAAAATTCCTCTCATTTTACGGTGTCTTTGTCGCTTATAATGCGCTCTCGCAAATTCATTTTCTACTTTTAAAATATATAAATGTTTTTATGATATTAATCCATAAAAAATAATAATAATAAACATCCAAACATTTTTATATTTTGATTTATTATAATACGATATACGTTTTAATTTATAGGCAAGAGATGGACGCTACAACAGATTCAAGCGTTAAAGAAGAGGTACAAAAGAAGTATAAATTTATTGTTTATACACTATATTTCTGTAAATATTTTGATAGTTTTAGGGCCTGTTTATATGGAAGCCGGGCTGGCCTGCTAAGCGAAACAGCCGGTAAGCGAGATGTCGCTGTCTAGTTATATTTATAGTAAATATTATACCGCCGCAAGCTATTTTTAACAACTGTCAAAACAGCAAAACGTCCTGGCAAGCGGGATGAAATTTTCTCATATAAACACAAGAGATTCATCTCGCTTACCAGGCTGTCTCGCTAAGTGGGCCAGCCGGCTTCCATATTAACACAAAATTGTATAAATCACTGAAATACACTTCTGCTTAATTCATACATTATAACTTGCTAGACCATCTATGGTATGGAAAGAGGATATGGATTATACCATGCTTCAAGAGATGGCAGCTGAAGGTGTTCTTCACCACAAGAGCAAATCGAGAAACAGGGGAGTATCATGGCAAAAGGTTGTCGAAAGACTCAATGCTCTGCCAAGCTTCGATGTGAATACAAAGTCTGTTCGGGATCGATTTAACCTCCTAGCAAAAAAATATAAAGTAAAAATGGGAAAACAAGAGAGAGCAACAGGTGGTGGGGGCATAGAGGTGACTGAGGCAGAAAATCTACTAGAAGAGTTGATTGCGATGGAAGAAGATACAAATGAGAGGGCTGATGAAGAAAGTAGAGCGAGGCAGATTGTTGAAGATGAAGACAAGGCAAAGGCAATCGAGATGCGAAAGAGGGCAATGGAGAGTATGGGAGAAACAAGAGAGAGATTGGGGAAGAAGAATGAAGAAAAGAGAAGAAGATCAGGGAATCAGTCAATGGTGTTTTTGGAGAAGGCAATTGAGACAAAACAGAAGATGCAAGAGGAGGAAAAGAGAGCAAGAGAGGAAGAGCGCCGAGATCAGCAGGAGATACAAACTGCATTTTTGAGGCAGTTGGAAGTTAGTCAGCAACAACATGCTGCTCAGTCTAACATGACTGAGCAGCATTTGTTGCAAAGCATCGCAATGCAACAACAACAACAACGGCAACAAATGCAGCAGTTTTCAGCCATGCAAAATAACATGATGGCTTTAATGGAACAACAGCGCCAGCAATCAGAGATGATTCTGGAACTTTTTAAAAAGACAAATAATAATTAACTATTTAATAACCATTGTACATAGGTTTGAACAATTTTTGATATTTCTCTGACATTCATTCAATAATTGATCGTAACGTTAACTTATTTAATTTGTAATATTCAATAATTTTATTTAAAAATATTGCAATAATATAATTATTAATTCAAGTGTAAAATGTTAATATATAATTATTAATTCAAGTGTAAAATGTTTTATTTCAATTGTTCTTCACGAGAAATAATGCTCCAAAGTGGGAGGTGACAGTTCAAAAAAATGGGCCACAATGTTTCCATATAAGCATGTATGGGCATTTTGAAGCAATGCAGAAACAGAGTAAAATTTGCCAATTGCACTCAAGTTAATTTTTTGTTGTTTTTTCATGTCAATGAATGCAAAATAATTGCAAATGCTGCCAAACATCCATTCAACAGACACCCGGACTGAGCTCATTGCCTTGTTGAACAATTCCATTTCTGGGGTAGGTTGCCGATCTTTGAATGGACCTTGCAGATGTATGCCAAGTGGATATGCTGGGTCACCATAAAGAGAGAGTGGCACACCATTGTAAAATGCATGCTGCTCTAATAATGGTAAAAGCCCTGATTGATATAACATTGTGCTGTCATGCCGTTTCCCTTCATACGGGCCAGAAAGATTGGCGATCAACCCATCAGGCACAACAACACTTTGAAATTTCATCGCATGATCCCTTTTGTAACCATTGTACAAGGTTCGTTGATTCTGGTTTGGTCTGGTAATTCTCCGAACTGTTCCATCAATGAAACCAAAACAGTTTTGAAGCGGTGCACCATGAGCATGTATGCTATCAGCATACCTGCCAAGGTTTTCAGGAGATAAGAAAGGTTGCTCAAAGCTTTCAAGCCGATGATGATGTGCATTAAACACAAGGCTAAGCATTCGGTTGAAGATTAGGCAAATTTCAGTTGGGTTACGGCCAAACCTGCTAATCATGTCAGTGTAGCGACATGGGTAGGCCAGTCTTTTCAGAAGGATGCATAGACCTTCCAAGCCACTACAAGATGTTCTCTGACAGCAAATTATTTTATCAGGAATGCCAAGACAGTAAAGTAGTTTCGGGATATCACTTTTCCTGAATCGCAACTCTTTATGACATTCAGTATCATCCCAACTTTCAAAATCAAACTTGTCAAATTTCCAATATGGAAAAATTTCTCGCGATTGGTTTGTTTGATAAAGATAAACAAAATCTTCAATATCAATTACATCTGATAAGTAAGCAAGGGTAAGTTGTTCACGAAACTCTTGCAAACTATTTCCTGCCATTTTTGATTTCGTAAACGTATAAAAAATGCACGTCGTCATATTCGTAAGAATTTTTAAAATTTAAAACAAAAGATATACAGTATCAACCGTCTTACAAAGTCTTCGAAATTGTACGTGGAGTATGTCAAAGAAATACTTTAAAGCAAAGAGCAACCTCCCCCATTTCCTCGACACAAATATAAAGAAAGACGTATAAACATGAACAATATATAAAATATGAACAATATAAATATTAATATATCAAACTTACCCAATCGACTTTGATTTATACATGAACATTCATGTCCATTGTCCACACGGCGAAATCTTGACAAAAATATGCAGATTTGTATTCAGATCGTACAAATTTTAAATCTTAAAAATTCGAAGTTTATTCCAACTTGGTAATTCTTTTATATGCTATACCGCCGTCGTTCACGGAACAATTTATACCAGCTAAATCACAATTTGTTTACGACGTGGTGGCGTCCTAGACTCAGACCCCTCGCGCAAAAATGACGTCCTCGTTGAAGTCGCGTCGTCTTTGCTAAACCTCTCTAATAACACGTGTTTGCCCGGCCGGTAAACAATTCCCCGCCCCCGGGACAACTTTGCAAGTACCAATGCCCAGCCACTGGGCAAAGAAAAGATGACAAATGCCCGGGGGGATGGGCAATGCTAGAATTAACTGATGCATAAGTTCTTGCAGTTAAGAATTGAAGATTGTGTAATGGACTTTATGACCTTTTGCAACATGCCCGCGCTATTTTCAGCGGAAACAGATATCTGGATTTGATAATGCCGATTTAGCTACACTACAGAACTTCTGCCTATTAAAACTGTCGCATGCACCCTGCTTATAACTTGAGGTGTACCGTGTAAGTCAAGGCACATGAACAACTCGCTTACGTTGTCATCATATTATATACTTCGAGGTGTTTTACACACCAGCAATAAACAGCTTTTGTCGAGTTTATCACTTCTCAAACCTGCTCAGACGGACATGTACTTTTAAAAACAGATTTAATTTGAGTTCATTTATTTGGTCGGCGTTTATTACCGAAGTATCAAGACAACGATATACAGTGCTGCTTTCCATTGTTTTTATCTTTTCATAAATAATTAATGAGTATAATTTAGAAAAATCCCCGCGTCTTTGTAATTTCATACAAATGGGGTGTTTCGGGCTTTGTCCAGCAATCTCAATGAAGGCCGATTCACACTGCACAACTATTTTATAAAATGAAAGTGTGTTTGAACGGAAATTAAGAAGTAAATATCTTAAAATGAAAGAGCTATTAAGACTTTACATAGTTTACAGTATATTTCGTCAATCCAGTCATTAACTTCCAAATCAGTGTCCTCCCAATAGGAGTAAAATCGTCTGCATTAACAAGGTCAAGGTGAAATATTATACAATTATTGGACGAGATTGAGCAAAAATCGTGATTTGTCAGTGCCTCAGTGGCGAGCAGATCAATCTGCCGATGCCAAAGGCAAACAATTAATCTGCATGCAGCCACTGACAAATCGCGATATTTTGCGATAACCAAGTTCAATAATTGTTTTATCATTTACTTATTCATTTTCGAAATTTTGTGGCCGTCAGGAAGTTCAACAAACCTGTACAACTAACAATATGTGAAAATTTAACAAGCCATGTTCACTTTTGTGTTTATTTGAATTGCTTTTCAGAAATCGATATTTTGCCATTGAGAAGTGATTTCAAAATGCGCATGCTCAGACCAATGTTTACCAAAGTGCGCATGCTCAGACCATCATGAATTCATCTATTTCGGGCAACTTTCCTCATGACATTAATGTACGGCAATTTTTTGTCCGACCCCCTAACTTTTCCCCGTCAGAACTAGTACGCCTATGCATGCATAGTTTTTCCAATTATTATAATTAAGTTGGCAATGGGTAAATGTGTCGAACTATTCGTACGAATCCTATCATTTAAGGTGCAAATAGAAAGGGCTGATGCCTTTAATGTTCATTCTCCGATGAAAATGTCCGAAGCGATACCCGACTAAATTTCCCGCGCGTATGGAAACGTGCTAATCAATTACACCGATTCCGAAGGAGAAACCAGTTAGAGACGTCAACAGGATCTTCGTCCTATTTCCCTGACACCCTCTTTATCCAAACTAGCCGAAGAGTTTGTGGTAGAGGAATTCTTCGCTCCTGCCATACTCGGTATTGTCGATCCTGCTCAATTTGGTAGAATTCCACGCTCCTCACCAACCCTGGCTCTCATTGACATGCTTCATAACTGGACTAAGGCAACGGATGGAAACGGCGGTTCTATTCGAGTTGTTTTATTCGATTATCGAAATTAAGGCGTTCGACCTAATCGACCTACTTCCTATTCCTAACTCTGTTAAGAACTAGGTACTAGACATCCTGATGGACAGAGAACAACGAGTCAAGTTATCCAACGACTGTCTCTTGGAGTGGGGTTCAGTACCCTCTGGTGTTCCTCAGGGGACTAAACTTGGCCCATGGTTGTTCATACTAATGATCAACGATCTTCGCCGAACAACCGCCCAAAACTGGAAGTAGAGACGACACCACAATCTCCGAGACCATACCCAGAAACGGCTCTAGTAACATCCAACACGCAGCCCATGAAGTTCAAAGTTTGTCTGTGGCAAATCCTCTTCAATTGAACCGTTCTAAATGTAAAGAACTCCTAATTTACTTTGGGAAAACTGATATCAACTTTCCAAGAGTCCGTTTTTATAACGAAGACCTTGAACTGGTTACCAGCGCGAAAATCCTTGGTCTTACCATTAGAAACGATTTTAAATGGAATGACCACGTTGAGAACATAGTCCAAAAAGCCAATAAACGCTTATTCTTTATCATTCAACTCAAACACGCCATTATTCCCGCCCTAGACATTATATCATTTTACAAATCGTGTGTCAGATCTGTTCTGGAATTTAGTAGTCAAGTATTCCATTACGCTTTACCTAAATATCTGTCTAATGCTATCGAACGTGTGCAAAAGCGGGTGCTGTCTATTATTTATCAAGACGCGAATTACGAAGCCAATCTTATACTCAGTAGTCTCACCTCCCTACGTGACAGACGGGAAAACGCTTGCATTAAATGCATATCAGGAGCAAAACACAAAGAAAAATCATAAGCGTGTCGTGGTTTTATATGTGATAAAAAATCATGTTAATTTACATAAACTTTAGCTTTGATTTTCTCGGTTTAGACAAAGTTTATTTTAAAAATTACTTCGCTAATGTACTCATCAGAAGATGGGTCGTTTTTTAAGCCATTTAAAGCACTCGTAGTCGTGTTTTATCACATATAAAACACTCCGCTACGCGTCGTGTTTTATATGTGATAAAACACTCCTACGCGTGCTTTAAATAGTATATATATATATATATATATATATATATATATATATATATATATATATATATATATATATATATATATATATATATATATATATATATATACTCTGT